GCTCCTCTGATGCTGCTTGGCCTGCTGTGTTCATCCAGCTCTACATCTTGTTATCCCTGGTATGCAGGAGGGAGTTAGCGGGGACAGGAGAGGATTGAAGGGGAGATTTGGACAGAGTGAGGAGGGGGTAGAGAGATTGGTGGGATTAAGAGGGATGCAGCAAACAGGGAAGGGAAAGGGGAGAGAGTTATAGTTACAGAAGCAGACTACACATATCATGTGCCTGCCTTGCATAGAATAGCCGTGTCTGTCCCAATCCGCTGCTCTGCCCCCATTTAATTCACTTTCCTCAAGCACCATCTAATTCCTTTCACCAACTCACCCCAAAATGAAGTAAATTCTTCATCATGGCGGGTGTGTCCCGTCTGAGGATTCGGGGTAGACCATTTAGGACAGAGGTGAGGAGGCATTTCTTCACAAAAAGAGTGGTGAGCCTGTGGAATTCATTACCAAAGGAAGTAGTTGATGCCAAGACATTGAATGTATTCAACAGGCGACTAGATATGGCACTTGGGGCAAATGGGATCAAAGGTTATGGGGAGAAAGCAGGATTAGGCTTTTGAGTTGGATGATCAGCCACAATCATAATGAATGGCAGAGCAGGTTCAAAAGGCCAAATGGCCTCTTCCTGCTCCTATCTTCTATGTTTCTATGAGACATGGAGGGGAGAGTGTGAGGGGGAGAGGGGGGGTAGAGTAAGGGAGTGAGAATGAGGTATGGAATAAAGGGATAGATGAGATAGAGTGGGGATGGGAAAGAAGGTTGAGAGAGGGAGTGTGAGAGAGAGTGCGTTACGGAAGAGAGCTTTGGGATTAAAGGCATCATAATAAGCTACCCACTTTAGAAACAGCTGCAATCATAAGTGATAGGCACAGCAGGAGGGAAAGCTGCTTTGTGCTGGTGATAGGGAGATTACAGGGGATAATCTTTGATATTTTCCAGATGCTCTGAGCATTTTGAAAACTGCACAGTAACTTAATGCCACTCCTCTTAACCAATCATCAATTTTCTCATTTTAAGACAGTAAAGACAGAAAATACGAGCCAAAATGAAGATTCAAGTGGTCATATTGGCTGTTGTAGTCATCTTCAGTGCAGTCCTGATTGGTAAGTGAGCGTCTCCCCAATATTTACATTTAAATACATTCTGTTTTCTCTTGAGATTGTTTTGTTCCAAGCAAGTCGGGACAGCATGGCGTTAAATACAGAGTAAAGCTCTCTCTACTGTTTTAAACTGAAAGTTAAGGTCCCTCAACACTATGCCCATAAAATACAGGACAGAAATAGCGAGGGGTTATATATGGAGCAAAGCTTCCTCTACTCTTTGAAACTAAAAGTAACTGTCTCTCAACAATGTCCCCATCAAACACGCCATGGACAGTGACAGCATGAGATTAGATACAGAGTAAAGAATCCATAGAATCCCTACAGTATGGAAGCAGGCCATTTGGCCCAAGCCGTCCACATCGACCCTCCAAAGAGCATCCCACCCAAACTCACCGCCTTACCCTATCCCTGTAACCCTGTATTTCCCATGGCTAATCAATCTTACTAGCACCTCCCTGGTCACTATGGGCAAAAGCTCCCTCGAAACTGTCTCCATCAAACACTCCTAGGACATTTAAAGTTGTACAGACCTTCTTTTCAACCACCCTGTGTTCTTATAAACCCTGTTGGTTAATCCAGTGGAATGAGGGTCTGGCAGGAGTTAGTTCCCCAAACTCCATCAAAAGAGAAACCTCCACGTAACCCAGGGCTGATACTTCATTTTCAATGATTAGTAATTGAGCGAGGTTCCTGCCTCAGGTTAAAGTTGGCTATTGCAGAAAAACGACACATTTTATCAAACCTTGTACTCAATTCACAAAAAAAACCAAAGTAAAGGGTAAACAACATGTTCACAACAAACTGTACCTAGCCAGCCTGCACTTACAAAACTCACAACAATTTCCAATCTTAGATGTGACTCTGTAATTGAACAGCATTTGCTGGATAATCCTGAATGGGTGAAGAATTACACTGACAACCAATTTAATACCTTCAGTCAGGCTCACATTGTCATGCAACTTTCTGTACAGTAAGTGACACACAGTAAAATATAGGCCCTTGTTCTTTGCAGAAAAAAAGAACATGTACATTCACAGTGTCTGTTTCAAATCAATGAAGGTAACAGCCATTCTCTGGGTAGTGTCTTGACAAATCAGAATCAACCTTGCCAGTTTAAAATTTAAACAAAACTTGGCAGTTATATGTCAGTCATCATTAACTAGTGCATACTACAGAGCAATACCTCTATCAATCACTGTCCACTAGCCAACAAATTAGTATTCTCCTCTCACACAGTACAAATATTGTTTTCATTTGGTTTTTCTTACAAATAACTGATTGACAAATTATCCAGTAAATTAAAACGAGATTCTTGTGTTTTTTAATTCTTCAATTTGTTGTCAAGTCATTTGCTAGATACTCTGTCCCAAACCTTTATTGAACAATCTGTTCCAATCTTTTTCTCTCTTCTCTATTTTCTAGCCTGTGATGCTATTCCATTGGAAGAAGCCAGTTCTACAGCTCAGCCTTCAAGATCTCTAAGAGATCACATAATAGGAATGAAAGATCAAGCAAGTGAATTGCTCAGCAGCATCAGGGAATCTTCTGTGGTTCAACATAGCCAGTGAGCAGCCATAATATTGACTTCACTCAGTTTGGTTTACCTTTCGTAAATATTGGGTAAAAACTGCTTACAGAGGCAGTTGGGAATGGAAATCTTAAATTGTATACAAGTACATTATTCTCAATTCATGCTGACCCAGCAATAGGTGAGGGGACCCAGATGGCATAGGGTGCAGGAGTCTCAGTCTTTGCAACTCCCCACAGGTTTGAGGTTCTTTTCAGCTTGTCTGGATGAGAGTTAGGGCCTCAGGGCAAATGAGCTAGTTGGCCATGGCACTTTGGTAAATGTAGCCATTCAAGTGGGGGAGCAAAGAAGACAGCAGCGGTGAAATGGTACAATATATTGAGGGAGTTTATCATTGCTTTCCGTAGCAAAGAGGGAGAATCCAGAAAAATGTGTTGCTTGTCTGGATTGAGGGATTGAGACATCTGCTCAGGGCAGGACAGAATCTATAGTGGAAGGGAGTAAAGCAATGTTCTTTCTAAGCTGTACGACTACACAGTCATTCCAAGGTTCCTCTGAGGTCCTGTGCATGTGGACCAGCACATCAATGCATTGACTTCTGGCGTTGGATGTTGATGCTGCACATGAACCTCAAAGGTATCGGAGTAACAAAGATTCAGTCGTTGTGGTCCATATAGCTATCAATGCCATAGATACAAGGGAAGAAGCTGTTCAGGGTCAGAATGGGAAAGTAGCACTAAATTAACAAGCTGGACCTCAAAGGTAGTTATCTCTGGATCCTTATCTGAGCCACGTGCGAACGGGTATAGGAAAAATAAGATTTGAGAAGTGAATGTTCAAGATTGTTGTGTAGAAATGGGTTCTGTTTCATAGGCACTGGCGCCATTCCTAGGGGAAGTGGGAGCTGTATCCTTGGTTTGGTCTACACCTGAAATGAATTTGGGCCAGCATTCTGGTGAAACATGTAAATATGCAAGTCAGGAAGGTTGTAAATTAAATACTAAGTTAAAGAATCAAATTTTAGAAGATGTGGTAAATCAAAGAATAGAGGCGAGGGAAGACAGCAAAGTATTAAGATGGAAAATTATATACATACTGTGACAGGTAGAGATAATGAGAGATAATCTGAAGATGATTCAATAGGTAAAGCTAGAGACTAAAAAAAAAGACAAAACTTAAGGATTTGTATCTGAATGCACTTAGCATTAAAAAACAAATGAACTGACAGCACCAATAGAAATAACCATGATCTGATAGTGAAGGCAGAGAGGTGGCTGCAGATTTACACTGATCATAAAATTGTCCATTTTGGCAGGAAGAATAAAAAAAAAAGCTGATTATTTAATTCCTGAGAGATTGCAGAGCTCTGAGATGGCGGGGATCTGGGTGGACTTGTGCATGAATTGCAAAAGGAAAGCTAATTGAATGTCATATTTTAAAGTGCGATTGGATACAAAAAGTTGCGAGATGCAGCTTCAGTTACATAGGCACTGGTGACGCTACATCTATAGTACTGTGTTCAGCATTGGTCATCTTATTTAAAGGAAAACGTACATGGGTGGACGCAGCTCAGGGAAGGTTTATCAGGCTATTCCCTGGAATGGAGTGGGGAAATGGGGGTCAGGGAATGGTGGGGACGGGAGGTGAAGGGGGTTGTCTAATGAGGAAAGGTTGGACGACTGGACTTGTATCCACTACAATTTAGAAGAGTAATGGGCAACTTGATTCAAACATACACAATGCTGAGGGGTCTCGAAGATGCATGTGGGGAGGATGCGCCCTCTTTTGGGAGAATATAGAACTTGAGTCAGTTTAAAAATAAACAGCCACTCATCTAAGACAAGGATCAGGAAAATTGTTTTCTCACCACAGGGCTGAGTGTCTTTGGAACTCTCTCTTTCTCAAAATGCAGTGAAAATACTGTAATATTTGACTAATTTAAAGGTAGAGGTGGTTAGGTTCTTCATAAGTAAGGGATGAAAGGTTATTGGGCAGTGGGTAGAATGTGGAGTGATCTGATCAGGCTGATCTTATTGAATGATGGTGCAGGATTGAGGGGCTAAATGGCCACCTCCAGAAGCTAGTTTATATGCTCGTATATACACATGATTTTTAAAAATTCATTTGCAGAATCCGGGCATCGCTGGCTGGCCCAGTATTTATTGTCTGTCCCCAGTTGCCCTTGAGAAGGTAGTGGTGCACTGCCTTCTTGAACCGCTGCAGTCCATGTGCTGGTACTAACAATCATAGAATCCCTACAGTGTGGAAACAGGCCCTTCGGCCCAACAAGTCCACACTGACCCTCAGAGCATCTCACCCAGACTCATCCCCCTATAACCCACCTAATCTACACATCCCTGAACACTATGGGCAATTTAGCATGGCCAATCCACCTAACCTGCACATCTTTAGACTGTGGGTTCTTTGGTAAATTTCTGCAGTGCATCGTGTATATAGAATACACTGCTGCTACTGAGCGTCAGTGATGTTTGTGGATGTGGTGCGAATCAAACAGGCTGCTTTGTCCTGGATGGTGTCAAGCTTCTTGAATGTTGTTGGAGCTGCACCCATCCAGGTAAGTGGGGAGTATTCCACCACACTCCTGACTTGTGCCTTGCAGACGGTGGACAGGCTTTGGGGATCTCAAGAGGTGAGACATGGAGTAAAGCACCCTCTGCATTTTGTCACTGATGTTGCAATAATTATTCTCTCTTGTTTTTTTAGGGAATATATTTCTAGGACCTTGCAACAAGTGCCCGAGTTCCTCAGGAACATTGGCCAAAAAATCTCTGATGCCTTTCAAGGCACGGGTGAACAATAAAGAACTGGATTTCATAACTTATGTTCTCCATGGCAATTGTGTGATGCCAAAGAAAATCAAAAATCTGACATTTCCCTAGAATGCTGGCAGTTCAAGTGAGTGTCACTTCATTGACGCTGGAGAAAAGCCATCTCAGGAATAGTTGTGTCTGCTTCTATTTTGAGGCTAGCAATTCTCTCTGTAAAGATTAGCTACAATAACACATGACTGGACACACCAGTGATAACTTTGGGTTACCTACATTGTGGATGTGACAAATAATTGGTAAACTAGTAAATGCAGTTTAAAGTCTGGATGGTCAAGTGGGCTCTTATCATTTCTGAACTTTTCCCAAATTTGTGCACCAAGCGCCAACAGTGAAGGAGCTGAACCCAAAGTTCGAGTAGATCTGAACAGTTAATTCATCTCACTAGAGGTAACATTATTGACTCTAAAATGTAAAAACTGCCCTTTGACCAATATTCACAGGCCAGATGTAATAGACCAACATAAACAGGCTGAGTCACCCCAATATTCCACATACAGCCCAGTGAGGACAGAGTCCTTGCAGATTCTTCCTCAGATTAAGAATTGCACTCTGAATGTAACAGGAATGAGTGACAATTCCTAGGAATGTGTTAAGACAACCATTTTATTGGATATGATGTTATAACAAGAACAAAATGATAAATGCTAAATTACAAAAGTTAGAAAATTTAAAGGAAACAGAACACTTTGTATAAAGGAAGAAATGCAACTTCTTCACAGCACAAATATTACAAGGAAACCTCATTATAAGAACATAAGAACTAGGAGCAGGAGTAGGCCATCTGGCCCTTTGAGCCTGCTCCGCCATTCAATAAGATCATGGCTAATCTTTTCGTGGACTCAGATCCACTTACCCGCGTTCTCACCGTATCCCTTAATTCCTTTATTGTTCAAAAAAATATCTACCTTATCTTTAAAAACGTTTACTGAAGTAGCGTCAACTACTTCACTGGGCAAGGAATTCCATAGATTAACAACACTCTGGGTGAAGAAGTTCCTTCTCAACTCAGTCCTAAATCTGCTCCCTTTAATCTTGAGGCTATGCCCTCTTGTCCTAGCTTCACCTGCCAGTGGAAACATCCTCTCTACTTCTATCTTATCTACTCCCTTCATTATTTTATATGTTTCTATAAGATCCCCCCTCAATTTTCTGAATTCCAATGAACATAATCCCAATCTACTCAGGCTCTCCTCATAAGCCAACCCCCTCAACTCCGGAATCAACCTAGTGAACCTCCTTTGCACCCCCTCCAGTGCCAGTACATCCTTTCTCAAGTAAGGAGATCAAAACTGCACACAGTACTCCAGGTGTGGCCTCACCAGCACCTTGTACAGCTGCAACATAACCTCTCTGCTTTTAATCTCAATCCCTTTAGCAATGAAGGACAAAATTCCATTTGCCTTCCTAATTACTTGTTGTACCTGCAGACCTACATTCTGTGATTCATGCACATGGACACCCAGGTCCCTCTGCATAGCAGCATGCTGCAACTTTTTACCATTCAAGTAATAATCCTTTTTACTATTACTCCTACCAAAATGTATATTATAGGAAGGACGTGCTGGCACTGGAGAGGGTACAGAGGAGGTTCATCAGGATGTTGCCTGTGATGGAGAAATTCAGCTATAAAGGAAAGCCTAGATAGACTTGGATTGTTTTCTTTAGAGCAGAGAAGACTGAGGGGGGACATGACTGATACAAGATTATTAGAGGTATGAGCAGGGTGAATAGAGAGCAGCTGTTCCCCTTGGTTGAGGGGTCAATCACAAGAGGGCATAGTTTTGGGGTAAGGATCAGGAGATTCAGAGGGTTTTAGGGGGAAAAAAACAACTTTTTCACTCAGCAGGTGGTGGGAATTTGGAATGCACTGCCTGGGAAGGTAGAAGAGGCTGGATACCCTATAAACTTCTGAAAAATATTTGGATTAGTCTTTGAAACATCATATCATTCAAGGGTATGGGACAAATGCAGGAAATTGGGATTAGCACACTTTTAGTGGTCATTATGTCAGTGTAGACTCGGTGGATTGAAGGGTCTTGTTTGCGCTGTATGAATCTATGAACCCCGACCTGGTCTAAACAGGATCCAAAATGGTAAAAAGAACTCTAAGTTAATATGTCTAAGTCAAATCTCTAAAATGATAAGACATGGAGTTGGCACATAAGACCAAGTCTCCACAAAACGGTACATGGGGCTGGATACTCTGGGCAGTCACCACCTCCCCCCCAACTTGGCTGTAGCAGTGAAATAGTGTGCCAAATTTGTGGCTTCATCCAAATTGTTCAAGACTTCCATTTGAATTTCTCAAAACAGAAGGTCTGATCAAAATATGAGTGTTATCTCTTGCAGAGTTATCAAAACGTGTACCAAGTTGTTGACCAATCCGTGATAATGTCTCTCACATGTACTCTGCTTATCAAATCAAACTCTAGTTCATTGACCACCCCATGCAAGGCTAGTTATTCTCCACCATGCAGGACAAGGGTCATCAGGTTCAATACAGTCAATTCCTCTTTTTAAGCAATGCCAAAAGAATCCTGATGTAAACATCAGAAGCAGAGGGGAAGAATATCCAGTCAAAACCACAGCTACGTATGAAATCCTCGGATACAGGGTAAAACAAAATCTATGGTTAGAAAATATATCTATAATTAACCAGTTTGACTTTAAAACACAACCACTTTTGGGTTAAATCAACATTTACAAAATGAGACTTCAGTTCTGGTTTACTGGAAGTTCAAAAGATAAATTGCAAAAACATAATGGTTTACAGCTGTAGACCTACACACTACTGTCCCCATCTCGGATAGCTCGCCCCCGTCTCAGACTCCACGATAACCACTGTCTGTGATTAAGTCCGTCTCCTCCATTTGCCGTTCGTACCGGAAGAGATCAGCCAAGTCTTTGTCCACGTGTTCACTCAGCTCTGTCAAGATCACATCCAGCACCTGCACAAGACAGGGAGCCATTACTGATGGTTCAACACCTGACAGTCACCATGTAGGTGGACACTTGCCTTTTACCATGTGTGTCTCTTTCTTTGTTCTTATCCCTGGGAATCCTGAACAATTCAGAGAAAATAAATCAAAGAATCAGATGGGAGGGGACTGTGAATGGCTGCCAACCCCACCCTATGACAGAGAAACCAGTCACTACCACCAAGCAATGCCTCAATACAATAATGATTCCTGTCTGCAGGTTTTAAGAAGCCGGTGTAAAATGTTCATGTCAATAAACACTGCATTGCATTGGATGTGGAACACAGAACTTCCCAATTTGGCTGTCTCTCCCAATGTACAGTGCTGGAGCGTTGGAAGCAAGGTGGATATGGAGTTTAAGCAGAAAAAGGTGTTCTTCAGAGGATGGTGGTGAACCAGATTAAATTGAACGACAGTGTAGAGGTAGCGTTGCTCTGTATCAAACCCCATCCTGGGATTGCTTGATAGAGATACCCTATAGGAAACACTCTGTTAGTTGTCATTGATGATGACTTGTGAAATGGAAGTGCTTCATTCCTACATCCTTAAAACCCCTTAGCCACAAGTTGCAATTGTAACAAAAATTCCTGAGAAAGAAAAAAAATCACCAACTTTCAAGGAGGGAAATATTCAGAATTAAGTGCAAGACATCTGCACTCACCACATCAGTAAATGCCTTTCTGTGGTAATCCTTCAGTGCCACATTCTTAGTAAATAGACAATGGTGTTGGGTAATGTTCAAATATTGCCTGAAAAGGACATCGAGCATCCAACCTGTAAAAGGGAGGGCAGAGTATGTTCCGAGTTACAGACCTGCAAACTGATGATGAAATGAATGCAATGTTCAGAATGAAGTTCAGAGTCAGGCTGGTGATAGCTGCTCTCCACTTCATTCAAAGCTGCACGACAGTGTACTCAACAGGGGCAACAGCAGTCACATTGCCGTGATCAGACTAAACGGTAGAGCACAATCGACGGGCTGAATAGCCTCTTTTTGCTGCAGAGATA